CTGAGAACGCGGGCGCCGAGGGTCGCAGCTGCGGGTCCCTCGCCTCCCTGCTCCAGACTGAAAGTGTCTGGAGGGCGGGGACCGCGCCTTTCTCCGCCCCCGGAGGCGCCGCTGCTCGGGTATCTGCTTTGCGAACTGTGGTAGTGAGCATCTATCGCCGCTGCTCGGCTCCGCTAGCCTCTCCCCAAACAATGTGGTCTTTTGATCACCTGCCTCAATTCCTTGTGATCTAGGAATTCCATTTCGTTGATGGAATCAATTCGTGGGCACGGGCCTGGGCATCTGCGTTGTAACTATCTCCCCATGTGACTGTGAGACCCACAGGGTTTTGAGAATGATCGTGAATTTCGTTCATTTAGCAAATATTGGTGAACCTGTTGGTTGCCAGATACCCTTTCTGGCAATGGCAAACCCTGCGTGATTCATCATACTTTTTGCACACATTTTGCTATCCATTTGATTCTATACCAGGCTTTTCTTGAGAGAGTCCCAGACATTGTTCTAGGCACTGGAGGAGACGCAGCAATGGACAAAACTGACAAAAATTCCTGCCTCTTGGAGCTTGTATGCTAGTGGCAGAGACAAGATAGATGAGATAAACCGGTAAACTTCAGGTTTGTTGGTGACAAGTGCTGAAGAGAAAAAAGGACATACGGTAAAGGGAGATGAGCGTGTCTAGAGGAGGCCTGTGAAATTTTAGATAGGGGGCAGAGGAAAGCGCACCGAAAATTACCCAGTCCATGTTTCTTACACAAATGCTGACCCATCTAATGTCAGCTGCTTACCAGAGCCTTCTTCGGGTGCTTGTGGGAGAAGTGGCAGCAATCTATTTGGGAAGTACAGAACTGCTACTGGAAACTGAACTTTGTGACAGTTTTGTCGTCTGGAAAAGGAAGAGTGTACTGAGGTGGGAGCTGTTGGGTTTGAAGTCTGTTTATTAGACTGGTAGTAGAGCAAGTAGAAACCACTTGGACATTTCTGTCCTGTGGTTTTGGGAAGCTCAAACTCACTTCAAGGGGTATTCTATGGTTTAGGGTTTTTTTTTTGTTGTTTTTTTTTTGTTTTTTTTTTTT